AATTACTATGGAAATTGTGAAGAGTTTCATAGTAGGCAATAAAAAGAGAAGGTCAAAAAGAAATTGACCATGAATTCTGATTGCTGAACTGAGTAGCTTATTTCAGGTAAAAGCACATGACTATTAAGAGCAAGTAAATCACGAAAAATTTACTGCACAGGAAAAATTGATTACAGGTCCTTTTCTTTCTACTTACCAATAACAGATTTAGCAAGCTGATCCCAGGCTGCAGTATTATCACCAAGCCAGTGTCCTGCCCACTTTCCACTGCTTGGATATGTTGAACGGGTAATAACAATTCCACGCTCCTTTGTGACATTCTGCAAGACACTAGCATTGAAAATAGCAGAAGAAACAAATTACATGAGGAGCAAAATAATTTAAAAAGATATTACATAAGACACTCTGAAAATAAACCTAGTGGCTTGTCTGGCTACAGAAAAGTGCAGCTATGTTGTTCTTTTCAGTATGAATAAGCATACATCCAACCAAGATATGTTTTGTATTGGGGTTCACTGTAATTCATATATATGCAGAAACTAAGAGTTAAGTGTCAGACAGCCTATAGTTAGAAAGTGAACAGGGAGGTGCTAAAATACAGACATCCAATTAACAGATGTCTAATTACTGTATGGAAAATAGGACTGTAGCCTAGATTACACATTTTTAAGGGTTACATGACATGGTCCTGGGCACATCATTCCATTATTATAGTACTAGAAAATGTGCAGCAACGGTTAAAAATAATCTCAACAAAATTCAGACCAAGATGACAGTAAAGGGGAAGAATAGAGGTACCAAGAATATTAAACCTACCAACATAACATGACTAGCCAAAATGCTATTGGAACAAAAATAAGTCTTTCAGCTGTTATCATTCCAAAGAAAATATGATATAAAATGGGCAATGTGAATTTGCCTACAAGCAATCATACCAAACCAGACATTTTCTGAGCAGATAACAGGCCTCAGCAGTAAGAAAGAACCAACTCACATGACATATCATGGCATTAGCTAACTTTTTGGCCTCCAAAAGATTAGAGCAGGGGGTAGTAAATATTGAAGAATGATGTGCCAGAGCTGTATTTTTCACCCCCAAATTAGAAGCAAAAGTACGTAAATGGAAACGGAGTAAAAGTCAGGGAACATCACTGGCAAGATACTGTTGATCAGTATGGCCCTTGCCTCTGCATGAGGCTCCTTGCTCACACTGAATTCAGAGCACAGAGGTAGTCGGAGGGTGAACCTATTGGAGAGAGATAAACAAATGCACCTTTTGAGATTCCCAGATCATGGCCATCTTGTGCATCACTGGCCCTTATAGGGACTTAGCAGGGAAAGAAGGAAACACCTGGCACAAAGACAGGACTCTCAATGGCTTTTCCACATGCTCTGGCATAGAAACAGCATGGGCAAAAAGTGGTCATATACCTTCTGAAAGTCACAATCTGCAGTATGAACAGGGATCCTTGGGAGACAATTTATGATAATTGTTGTAAACATCAGTAGCTGGAGGTGTAAGCATGCTCGTGGTGCTAATAGTATTTTGAAAACTTACAGTAAGGAAAAGATAGCAATTGTGAAGAGTCTGGGATGTTGGGCTAGTTGGAAGGACTAGGCAGAGCTGTCCATTTGGTGTGAAGACTTTTGACTGCATTCTCTTTTGGGAGACAAGGAAGACAAGCTGAGAGGCAATTAAACTGTTCAGCTTTCACTTGGTTTGCTCTATTTAAACAATATTTAGAAACTGCAACTAACATCTGAAATGTGAAGAAAGTGTGTATCATGCATAGAACTGCATATATGCTTAAAGGAAAGCATGACCTAAGTGTTTTGCTAACTCAGGCTTCCAGTACTCTGTGCTTTAAAACAGAGCCTAAAGTGTATATGTGCATAGCACTACCTCAAAATGGTTGATGTATTCACTTCCAAAGGTTCTGGCTTTCAAGTTTACACAAAAGCCTTGTTACTAGAGAATAACATTAAGCCAATATCAAGAGGCTACTTTTAACCAGTGGAGAACAAACTACATCAAGTTATGTAAAAAAAAAAAAATTGTTCCCATTTAGGTTACATGCTTCTGAGATTTGTGTGCAAATGAATTTGCTATCTGAATGATCTATTATTACAATAAATTATTATTACAACATTTCTCCAGTTAGCCAACTGCTTGTCCAATTAGCAACGAAGAAAAAACTGCAATTTTTTAAATAAGGATTTTCTATACAAGTATGAGAGTACTTGTGTAAGCTGTGTAATTTATGATAGTCACTTCTATTATAGTCCCTCTTAAAATAGAAGAAAATATTTCTTCACGTTTGAGTTCACATTCCATACATAGAAGCAATGATAATATTCTTCTTTGTGTTAAGTTACTGTCTGCTTCCAAAAACCAAATTACATTTAATTCAGCTGATAACATTAGTATCATTCTTTCCTGTCCTGGCAGCAATACTGACTACCTTTGCCGACAGTAACGCAATGGCATGCTGCGAAATGTAACATCTACTTGGTCAAAATTTAAGTAGCCTTGATATGTTCTTTATTTTTGGTATTATCAAAGTTACCAAGGACTTTAAGGTCATTAATGACTATAAGGAAATACTGCACCTTGCTTACTTATTGTATTGGAAGTGAAACTACATTGATACATTAGAAGTTATCTAAAATAGCTTCGGATATTATGCATTAAGAAATACATAAACTTTGCCATGGAACTGAGAAAATAGATTCTTAAAAGGAAAGCCAATAAACATAATTTACATTTTAAAAGTCACCGTTTTCCCTTTGCAGCATTATCCAATTTATTTTAATGATGTTAATTTATGAATGGCTAAATTACACCCTATATTTAAAAATCTATAATCATTTTCCCAGGCAAGTAAGCTTGTACAACACAAGATTTATATGCTCCCAGCTAGGTGACAAATAAGTTTTTTTTGCATTTCAGACTTGACTAAACTTCTTGTTTAGGGTCAGTGATTTTAGAGCTGCTAAATTCAAAAATCAAGACTCTGCCTGCCTGTATTGAGACAAGGAATGGAACAGATGCAGGTGTAGACAATGTCTGGTTTTTTTTTTTTTAGTCTCTAACTGGCTTCAATCGCAGATGGTATTAAATGCAAGATGGAAGCAGAGCCTCAGCTCCAGCCTGCACAGGACTGTTTTACCTTCTGCTGCACATCCCTTTTCAGCAGCTCAGTTTCATACCATCCTGATTTCACTATCGACAAGATTACTGTGATACCTGAGGAATAAACTTAACTGAAATAAAAACAACTACAAGTCCAGAGGGCAAGCTATAGCATTGGTTCTCAACTTTCTTAACAGTTAGCTCCACTTTTGCCTGAACTGAAGAACTGAACTGATGATATTAAGATGAAAAGAAAAAATGACTAGGCATGTTAAATAAAGTGGTGAACGTATTGGTCTTAAGAATATAGACCTAGAAAATTCATTTGTAACATATTTCGCAAATAACAAAATGATGCAACTTACTCTAGGGTGGGTTTTGTTTGTGACCATCCATAAAGATTATGGACATCATAGTGTCTAACTGGAGTACCATCTGAGAGATACTGTTGACCTTCCATGCACAGAGTTTTGAAAATTAATCCCTCTGATCTAGATCCTAAATCTAATGGAAAGGGAATGAAAAAATTCATATTTAGTAATTAACATTCAATAATAATTTCAATGAGTTACTTTCTGTTAATTTCCATAATCTATTTTGGTGTTCGCTTTTTTGTATTTATACTGTCATTTATTTTTATAAAAATGAAATTTCAAGTTCTCTAAAATTCTTCATACTTCTGGGCAGATATCCACGTCTGCAAGAATATTAATAACTCAGTTCTAGATGCCCGTAATGAAGAGGCTCAAAAAGTAAACAGAATATATCCTCATTCAGAAAATATTGCAAATCTTTTAACACTGCTCTCTCATCCATATAAATAGAAAACTGAGAGAATAAGTCTATTTCTGAATATTAACTTTCTGACAAATCCTGAGAAATGATGTGTCATAATTAAGACAGCAGTAGGCAACAAAAGTATTCTAATAAAGTAATAGTAATTATTACTAGTTAGTACTACTGCACACCAGTACTTAAGTAAAGCCATTCTAAGACTGCTAAGCATTTCAGATGCATTCCTCAAATTAGGACTTAGGTATTTTTATCCATAAATGAGAGGAGACATGAAGTTATTTTCTAAATTTTTTACTCATTAATTTTATTATTCAGCTGAGAAAACTATGCGAAACACTGGGAATCACGTTTTCAATCATATCCAAAACAGAGAATCTAGATATAAAATAGTGTCAAACTCCATAAAAGGACTTTAAAAGAACCATGCAGTCACTGTTCTCACTAAAATAGATTGGAGTTAAGCGTGCTCATAATCTTTTAAAACAGAGCCACTTTTAGTTAGGAGTTCAATTATGGATTTATCTACCTAACTTTAATCATTTATGCCACATATATTATGTAAGAAATTATATATCAGCTGAAGTGACCTAAAACTGTTTTAAGCAGTGATCAGACTCACAGGGTATGTAAGGTGGAAAGTTTAGGTGGATGTCTCTACAACCATCAGTGGCACCATTAACAAAGCTAGCAGGTTCATTCATGTCCTAAAAACAAAGCAAAACTAATTTTATTTGTTTCATTGTACAACACACACTAATCCTAACCTGCAGAAAAGCAGCATAGTAAAGGTCCTCAGGAACACGAACAGATGCAATTTGTCTGCCATGCTACATTTTGTTGACCTAGGTTCACAGGTGTACTCAAAAAAGAAAAGAAAAAAGGAAACTAGAGCTTTCTATCCTAGGAGCAGCTGTTTAAGTTCATAATAGTTGTAAAGTTTGATTTCACAATTAGAAATACTCTCTGAAAATACAAGGTTACCATGGATCTACATGGACACCTGAAGTTGGTATTCGAGGAATGAACTTAACTGTTTCTTTTATTTTCTGTCATGTCCTTATAACTTGCGCTAGGCTCTTAGGTGTCCTTCCTTCTCTTTCCTTCAGTCAGTGGGCTCCATAGTCACACTCAACATTGACATGGGCTGCCGCTGAAAGGCTGTTCCCATTCTTCCTTTCTCCCACAGCTGGAGATCACTTGCACTCCTCTGTGCAGGTGGTCTGTGAATGGGAACAAGTAGTTGATCTAGTTGGAAACCCCTCAGGGAAAGAACAGGTCTCAGCTCCTTCAGCTGCTTCATCTCACTCTGAGTGGCCACATGTAGTGCTGGGTCAGCACTGAGTGGGTGGCAAGGATGCAGAAGAGATCCAGGAGAGCGCACAAGCAAAGTGACATGGAGCTGCAGCTGGTTAAAAGCCGCATGCAACAGGGATTATCTTCCATCCTGAAAGTGCATAGCACAATTATTTTGTTGGTGTCATTGTTGGATTGGTCAGAAAGGACCAATGCATATGAGAGGCAAACCTAATCTTAGGAGCAAACACTCAGGGTGAAAGGTGGGCTATTTTGTTCAATTTAAATGATCCCTGTGTGAGAATGGACATCAAAGCAGCTCAAGAAGAAGGCAGCTGCCTGTATTCTGTGCCTTTAGATCTGATGATGATGAGAAGGAGAGATAGGGAGATTCAAACCAATTCTCAAACAAGTTTCAGTTTCCGGTCTGGTGCCCAACACCCTCTCCTGATGGGCAGCACCTCCACGTTTTCCTCCAATGAAAATTTCTTCTATTCTTTAAAGACAATCACAAGGTTGTGCAGCCCCTTTGTCAGAGAAGAGCCTAGTGCTTTCATTATTAATAAGAAAATGAAGACTCATTAAAATTTTTAGCTTGTCTGACAGAATTCAAAGAAACTTTTCTGTAAAGGGCCATTTTAAGGGAAGAGAAGTAAGGACAGGCTCCATTCTCTGCATCAGAACACTGTCACTGTGGAGGAAGAAATTCATCATTTACTGAGGCAGCAAGAATCTGAAGCACCAAACAAAACTGAAGCCTTTCGCTGGTGAGCTCAGGTTCAGCTTGCTGCCCTGGTTCCTGCCCTTCCAGCCTATTCTTGTATTTTCCTTAGTGGTAGTATAACTGTTGTGAATGTTGTGATCTGTGGCTCTCTCTCCTAGTGTCCAGCAGACAAAAAATATAGCTAAGCTCTTCTTTGTTAATTTTGCTACCAATGGTCTCGATACAGTCCCGGTAGCATCATGTATTCCACCACAAGCTGGCATATCCAGCATATGGCTGGTGTATCTGCTCTCCGGCATGCTTGTGTGATTTTTCCAAGGAGCCTAAAGGAGCAAGATGAACAAATTCTACACTTGGGCAATTAGCTCCTTTCAGCTATTTTAGATTGTGCTCTAAATATTTAATTTTCTTTTTCAGTAGGCTGACTATGATTAGATTAACTGGAAAATCTGATTTTCCAGACTATGTATTGCATTTCTGTCTTAAGCAGTGTAAATCTGATGAGAAATTCCTTTAATAGCCAGATTCTGAATTTCTCATTTCCTAGAAAGCATAGTGTCTAATTCACAGAGATTACTTGAAGGTACTGGGCTTCAATTTTAAGAAGTTCTTATTTATCAATCATACAGGCTGAAACAGATATGTTTTCCTATGTATAAAGTTGAAATCAGTACTGAATCACAGATACATAAACTAACAAAATCTCTGAACTTTGTAAAGATCACATGTGTCTTCAGTGCCTGTGATCCTCTGGTTGCAATAATAAACCAGAGCTGGCATTACAGAAAAATACCAAATATTTTACTAGATCTCTAGACTTTTCTGTATTTTGTATGGCAATATATTAATCCTTAATAGGTTCTGCAATTAGTGCAATTCCCTTATACTTAAAACTAAACCTCTCATCTAACTTGTCCCACTAATTTTGTCCCACAGAAGTAGTAATGGCCAAAAATAGTAATGCCCGCTGTAAAAAAAAAAAAGCAGCACTTTAGGCATTAATAGAAGAGTAACATCACTACAAATCAGCTAATATGCAGGTCAAAGGTAGATAATGAAGATTTGATAGAAAGCAAATTGTTTCAATAGGGAAAAATAAGACAAATAATGATGCTATTAACAACAAATAATTGATCTTTAGTAGACTGTTAATAGTATTTTAACGTTAAATGTTTGTATCTTTACTTCCTCAGAGACATCAAAACTGAAAGTGATTATATTTTATTTTGGTTTCATCTTATGATGAAAAGATAAAGAAAAGTCTCAGGAAATAGAAAAAAATTACACTTACAATCCATAAGCCATCAAACTTCAAGCTTCTTGATGCATTGTTTGGATTAGTGTAGCATTCCATGATTTCTCTCTTCCACCATTCAGTTGTGGAATTACGAAAGAAATCTGGGAAAGCCGTATGTGCTCGGTAGAGCTGTAAAAGGAGTAGAAAAATAAAACATAGATACAGGACTGAAAGCATCACATTATTAAAATGTTGGAGTTTGGAAAAAAAAATCACTTTTTTGCTAAATCTTTCAAGTGTTCTGATAGAAAGGTTTCTGCATCCTGCTCCTTAGACTAAATTGTACCTGCCAGTTCACTGTATTACCTAATTTACTGCTCTCTCTGTTTGTCAATAACCCAATAGTATCTTTACCTTCACTTGGGTGTCCCAATCCAGTGTCTCATTAATTTCTACATTGGGAAGATCTGGCCAGACCTATTAGGAGGAAGGATATATTAAAATAATCAAATCAAACTGAATACAAATTATCACTAACAGCAAACAGCTGAAGGCTTGCTTCACTGCTGCATACTCCAATGGCAAAACAAACCAAAAACATTTCAGTCTGTAGCACTGAATGTCATCTAAATTCAAACATGAACAGCCCTGGAGTTGAGAATGATACGATGCTCGTCTGGATACAATACACCTCTACCGTCATCTGCTTTTTAAGAACAGTACCTTTGCATATATAATATCACTGGTATTGGGCCATTTTATGAAGACATCATCATTTACACCTCTTGTGAAAGTGGGATAATTGGTTTCATTTGCAGATATGGCAGGGTCCTAAAATTCAAGGTAATAAAATTTTACTTTTATGCTCAAAGAACAAAAACAAATGCTGTTAAATGAATTCTGTATTCTGCAATGATATTTTGTAATTTAAAATCAGAATTCAAAACTGACCAGAATTAGGATAAATCTCATTCCCTCTTGTTTTACTTTATTAATTAGAGCTGGTAATCCGGCAAAGTGTGGACTAAGGGTGAAGTCCAATTGGCGTTCCATATAATCGATATCCGAATATTGAACATCCTGCAATTCACAAAAACAATGCATGTAAAGGAGGGTTTTTTCTCTTTTTTCTTTTTATTCTTAAATATGTTCATAGTCCATCTTCAAAATTAGGTAAACTATTGAATTTTTGAAATGTAAAATTGGAATCTGCTGCAGCTTAAAGCTGAGGTTATCAAATGAATATACTTACATGACCTAACAGTAAGTCCAGTATGAAATTAAGCTTTCATTATCACATTTATTCTGAAGGTAGAAATTTATACATGGCAGCAAAAAAAAAGCCCTGGATTTGTGCATATGTGTGTATGTATATGCATACATATTACCATACATAGTACAGAAACAATAGAATCACTCATTCTACACTGAAATAATTTTTTATTAATTACATATAAAATGAAGTGCCACTTTAAAAGTATAATTTTGTTAGGTCTATATGTTTTTGTGACGTTCCCAGCAACAACTTGTGCCAAAAACGTAACTATCTCAGAGCAGAGTAATGTGCAGTGTAGATGACACCACTTTACTTTCTTTCCCTCTATTTTTCCTGTTAATCCCTATTCCTTCCTACCTAGCAAAGTGAGAGGCAATGATTAGCTGGAGAGTCTAGATGGTTCTTCCATGTGCATGTGTAAAAATGACCTATATGGTTCATCTTGTGAAGAGCTTCAAGTGCAGAAGTTCTTCCTTATCCCAGGGAGCTGGTTTGGATGTTAGAGGAGGGAGGCTAGGTTCAAATAGCCTTGCTCCAAAGACTGAATCAATCCCCTTCCTGCCAGAAATGTTGTATTCTCTAAGCTACTGGCTGTTACTGCAACACTTCTCTTTAGACTGTGTTTTAAAACAAAGGGCTTTATAGAAAAAGCAGCTCAGACACACAACCATGAGAGGACTTGGCCATGAATTCCCACATATGAGACAGGTCTCTGCAGTCTCAGAGCTATTAAATCCTAAAAATAGGATGTCAGCACACTGAATTTCCTACCGCCTGTGTAAGGTTACTTTCTACTTAATATATTGGCTTCTGAAAATTCCATCGTTGGGTGCCTTCCTCACAGTGTGAAAGGGCTAAAGGATCATTCGGGACCTAGAACAACTCTGAAGTTAAATGTGTTATTAGGCAGCTTGTTAGCGCTACAATGCTCAGATCCATGGTGACTAAGTGTGCCTTTAAGAGCTAGACCACAAAGTTTACGGAAAAGTTTAGTTATTGCATAAAGCATATAACGTGCTCTCTTCTGTGGCTGAGTGTTTTTTACTGTTCTAAATTCGACAATACTTGGAAGCTAGAAGTTCAAGCATCTTCACAAACTTTAACCATTATCAACATACATAGGGTATCTGAGCTGCCCTCATTGCAGACACTAGCTCAGCAATTTCAGAGTCATTTTGGTATCCATAGCGACATAGCTGGAATCCCAAGGACCAGTAGGGTGGCATGAATGGTCGTCCAATCAGCTAAAACCAAATAAGAAAGAATATTAATGCCATATAGGTGAAAACAAAACAAAAAACAGTTATAGTTTGTAATAGCAGAAGAGACATACTGTAGTGTATTCCTGAACAACAAGCTCTGGTGTTGGGCCCAAAACCATGTAAAAGTCCAGAATTCCTCCAATTGTGCGATATGTCAGAGCAGGAGTTGGCTGGAACGTCACATCTGAAAATGGAGGAAATGAAATAAGGAAATGTATGTCTGGATAAGCCACAATTGCAAAAAACTGAATACTCAAATGAAACATTGAGAAAATAAAATGAAATTGTTTTTTACCCATTGCATTACTGTTAAGCAAGAGAACTCCATGGGCATTGCCATCTTCTTCAAGAGCCATGTAGAATGGCTGAAAACCATATGAATTCAACTTGTACTGCAAAAGAAATAAACTGTTTTCTACTAGAGAAACATCATAAGCATTCAGTTATTTACATATACTAATAAAGTTAATAAATGATCAAACATACAATTGCCAAACATAAAACAAATACAACTCAAATCATACTACGGTAATTATTTACATTCCCAGAAAAGATCATTTTCAGCTTAAAATTTTGAGGTCAGTCTGGTTCAGACTCCTCAAAGGAGAAAGAAAGAAAATATATTACTGCCTTAAAAAAAGAAATCACTAATATCAAATTTCTTTGCTAGGATAAAACTTTCTCCTCTTTTTAAAGATGAGCAGGTAACCTGTATGATCAACATAACCTAGTGAGCTTCTGTTCTTTTTCATTTATATTTCAAATCCTGAACTGGAAATTATATATGTAATAGATATATTATATAATAGATAGATAAAATCTATACACTAGATAATATAGTATTATTTAATTATAAATAATGCGTCACCATTTCACTATTAATTCCCTGTAAATTGGAAACATTGTGTTATGTAGAAAATATTTACACATATTTGTGTGTATGAATGTATTTTTTGATTTACTTCTGTAAGTCCTTCCTTCTTTGATCAAAGTTATGGAATTTTAGCTAACACAATTCTAGCTTTCAGAACAATTAGCTGAGAAGCAAGAAAAAAAGCATAAATGTGCTGTTATTTCTAAGCCATTTGTTGTCATCCAATATATGACTCAGCCGGAGTCAGATGGGCTTATAGGTTGTGGTTGGTTTACAGAAAAATTGTTGCCACTGTAACAGGAGCTGAGTTATAAGCCTCAATTAATATGACCAAAGCTAATAAATGTGTCCAGTACCCACTGACTTCCACTGAACTTTAAACCCCTACTAAACATAGATTAGGTTCACTGATCACTAATATAGGCCCGTGTAAGAGAGGACTAAAGACCCAAAGGAGTTGTTATGCATAATCTTTATGGTATGGGAACATTAATGGTGCAAAGGTCTGACCAAGGGCCATAGGCAAATTCTGCCTTGGATGACAGATCACTACAGCCAATCACCACAGATTGGTACAAAGCAAAAAGCAATCAATTATGCAAAAATCAAAACTGCAATTTGTTTCCACTTACACCAGGAGGCTGGTCTCTTGAGAACATTCCCCAGGTATTCCAGTTCATATCATGTCGAAATGTGGTATGTTCAGTTTCACCAAATCCGTATATATACTGTGATGCCAAGCGGGTAGATATCTGAAGGAACATGTCACTGAACGTGAAAGTTGGTAGCTGAGAATCCCAGCTAAAACAGAAAAGAGAATAAAAAAAGATCATAGCAATTCTTGGTGTCATGTGTAGCCGAGAGTAAACTTTGAGGCCTTTTTCCCCCCTCCCCCCAAAAAAATCTCGTTCTTCACTAAACTTAGGATAAAACTGTTACGGTTATCAAGAAAGTTTACAAGCCATGAAACAAGGATATCTAAGAATTATATATACAGTCCAGCAGTGCAGAACGTCCCATGTCGCTCCGATAGATATAGAGCATGCACAGGTATCATTCACATGGATATTTTTGCAATTCATTGTGAAAAGGCTTTTCAGGAAAGCATGGATATATTTTCTATCCGGATTGATCCTTGGTGCCGTATGTGAAACTGTTGAAAAGGAGCATTTTTAGGGTTTAGTGGATTTTTTTGTGCAGATTATGTTGAAACATTAATTTTAAATCATAAATTAATTTAAAACATAAATTTTAAATTAATTTTTGTACTGTTCTGATGAATGACGTAGTTCCAGAAGACTGAACTATGGAGTGAATAATTACTGGGGTTGGCAAAAAGGAACTCAACTTGCAGTTCAGTTCTGACTATGTTAAAGAATGACATAAAAACTCTTATTTGGAACCAAAACATAGGACATAACGGTTAACATCATTACTGCCTGCTTTTTAGGTCAGATTAATGCTTCATTGAGGAAAGAAATGAAGCTCCTGCTAGATTTATTAACTGTCATGTTATTAAAACCCATCTGCAAGTTAGCCGAGACATAATTTTCTTCTATTTTTGTATTTCTAATCCCCGTAAATAACCTAACAAGTGAACAAAGTCCCTTCATAAAAAATGCTATTGTCACCTAAAGAAAATATCAGAAAGCATAGAAAATTGTGCCTCCTAGACACTTGGGAACTGTATGCAAACCAGCCTTTGGAAATGTCTGTGTTCTGTACTTCAAAATGATACAGAGGACTCCTGGCATGTGGCAACTACAGGGGGACAGGGAAACACGTTAGCCAGTTTTGAAAAAAACAGGATCTTGCTCAGGTCACCTTCTGAGTCCTTCCCCTGGGTCAATACTCTTACAGATATGCAAAGGTCAAGCAACCCTTGCTTGCTATATGACAAACATACCATTTAATGAGGTGGATACAAGACTAGTCTCAGGGCATTTAAAATACAGCAGACAAAATGGTTTGGTTTGAAAATAGCTAACAAAAACAAAATAAATTAAAAAAAAATATGGCTTACATAACTGTTCCTGTACTTTTGCGTCGAACCTGTATACCAAACGGTTTTCTGTGAATTGATACATCATAGAGTCGATTCTCTGCTGTGCTCATTGGGGAACTAGGGAGATTTAGTGGTACTGGAACCTCATATCGTTTGTTCTGGTAATCATAGATCTACGAATGAAAAATTATTTTTCAATGTACACAGAATACTGACATAGCAAACATTAGCAACATTTAAGTTTTCAATAATAGTTCAAATATTGTTTCTTGTATTAATTATAGACTGATGGAAATGAGTTTATAGGCTGGCAGATTCCCAGTCTTACATAAAGTCTCATTCAAAACTTTATCAATAATGATAAGAAATCTGAATTAATTAAAATGAATACAAAAAATTGTTGAGCAAATTTTCTGAGAGGAATCTTTTATTTGGTGTGTGTTTTTTTTGTAATTTCCTCAAAATATTTGGTTTGGAAAATAAATCTTTAGGATTTGCTTTGGACCAGGAATAAATCATTTAATTATTTTGGTTCAGCGTTTAGCAAAGAGATTTTTTTTTCAGGTTTTCTGTATTCTATAAGTTGACCTAAGTTAATTCAAGACTTGATATCTGATCATTTTAGTAATATATTAAATTTTAGAGTTGCTTTATTAAAGATATAGTAAAAAAATATAAATTACAATGTATTAAAGATTTGAGAAAGTGAGTAGAACCATTAACAACCACCACCTTATAACCATAACAACTCTTACTGATAGTTGTACCTGCATCCTAATGATGTATCTTTAGTTTCAGAGTTACTGCTTGACCTTACATGTTTACATTGACATTATAGTCTTGATACATAAAATTATATTTTAAAAGTTGGGACAAAATTCTTACCAGAGGAAAAGATACGGCCTAAGAGCAATAAAAGCTCTCTGTTTAAGAGAGGTAGCCTATTTAGACAAGAGTGCCATCATCCATATAATACAAAATTGATTAAACCAATTCTATAAGTAAAAGTTTATATTGTTCCACTGGTGTAAAAAAAACTCAGAAATTCCAGAGTGAGATTACCTTAAACTGCAGCATATTGTTGTCATGATATTTCACCTCCAAGCGAAGTGTACCAATAGGTAAAGTTGAATTCTCATAAGCTTTGGTATTGATATTGTTTAAAGTAAGGTTAGCTGTCAGACCTGATGAGGTGTATTTTATTTCATCAACAGAATAAATGTTGTCAGAACTATAAAAGCAGTAGGGAATAGACAAGTTTGAAGTTACTTCCTGCAAATGGAAATATATTGCCAATTGTTAGATTATGAGGTAAAAAGCTCCTCTCCCCAAGTACAATATGGACATGTGTCCCACTAATGGACCTTTCTCCTGATCAGCCTGAGAGGGGAACAGGATGAGGCTATTTGTGCTGTTCTTGTGAGTGCTGAGTATCTGTCCATGTTGGTCTGTGTGGTCAGCCACATATGTGTGTGTATGTATATATACATACATATATATATGGACTCTGATGCAGCAAGGCTGCCACAGCTCCGTGGTATCAGGTCCAAATAGTAGTGAAACTGAGATTGCATTCCCAGTAGACAAATACACATGTACAGCATTATATATATTTATTCCTATATAAAAATATAGGAAAATATGCACATATATTATATATTTTTAAATATCTATAAATATGTAAGATATTTTTATATACATATATATATAAAATGCTGTACACATGTGTTTGTCATGGAGCTGTGGCAGACCCACCCCATCAGGCTACCAGGCTCAGGCCTCCTTACCTAACACACATCTTATTTTTACTAGGTAGTTATTTAATGTAGATGTAAGTTAATGCTTTAGCTGATGTAGGTTAATACATTGGCCATCCACTTCTGAATACTTACCATCAATCCTATCTAGTCATAGAAATGAAACTATGCCTGCTAATCACATCTTAATTCCTAATGAATGTTTATCTGCTGTAGCCAAATTCAGAACATCTTCCAACTTAAGCAAGTGTTTAAAATATACCCAGTTCATAACTGGATCAGAATGTTATTTCACAGGAAAAGACAATTCCAAATATCCAAAATTACGAAAATATTTCTAACAGTACAACAAATTTAAGAAAGTTCAACCATTTCAGCTGCTCTTGCTTCTGGAGTAGCTAACAGAATTTTGGACTTTATACCTAGGGGAAATATCCAAGCTTTGAAATTTGGATTTTGAGAATCACAGAATAATGTAGTTTGAAGGAGGACTCTGAAGATCATCCCTGCAAGGGTACACTGCTGACATATGTTTATAGTCATGTGAAATCCAGAGATAAAAATTATCCAATAAAGAATTTCATTTCAGGTATCTAGATCTATCTGATAGACAGGAAAGTAGAAAGTTAACCTCACAAAAAGATACAAATTCTGAGGTTCAAGAATTTTTCTTCATATTGTGTTTCAGAGGAATCAATTTTAACTGAAGTGTGTTTCAGTGAGTATGTATACAAGACAGTCAAAAGACAAAATAAAAGTGTTGAGGATCACAGCTGCAGTTAAGAAGAGTTGCATGAAGATGGTGATCTCAAGTCTATTCTACTTTTTATAAATCTAATATTTGGTATCATCTTTCAAAAAATACTATTTTTTCCCCCTCTATTTTTAATATACTTTGGAAGACCTTAAGGTGTTGAAATTGGTCGTAGTTTCAATGAAGTAAAGCAAATCTACTAATAGATGGGCCAATGAATGAACTACAGACTGCCAGACTACCTTTTTCACAGTAAAAAATACAAAAAGAAAGCTACGATTCTTAAAATGCTCTCTCATTTAGCTTAGACAAGTCATTTTTTCTTACGTTCCAGACACAGCCAAGTTGTTCACATTTTTCTTTTGTTGCCTCTTGACTGGGATGGCAATCATATCTTTCGTTGATACTCACTTCCTGAGTCCATTGTAATGAGTATGATTTTCCCAGTTCAAGCTGAAGTCCTCTTATACGAGCAACCTATACATATTAAACAATAAACAGTTAAATTCTACTTCAAATCAATCCTTTTCTCAGCCTGCAGAAATGTAGAGCCTCAGAAACAGTAAGCTGTCCTACATGTCAACTCACAAAAATCTTAGTGCCTGTCATGCAACATTAAGTATATTATTTTTACAAATGCATGCGCCTGAAATTCATGCATGTAAGATCTGAAAAAGAGCTGATCTCATAAGTCCTGTGGAAGCACACAAGGAATGAATATAAGTGCACAACTCCTTAAACTTCTTAAATTTCAATGTAAGTGGTTAGGAAAAGTTAAAATACTTTGATTCTGTTTGAATAACTGAGATTATTATAAGCTTTTGAGTTACCTATTAAGACAGTGTACAGTGCAGGTTCAAACCAATGTCAGCACTATTTTTAAGGTGGTGAAACATTTTCATGAAAACAACCCTCTAGCAGCATTGTGCTTGCCTGCTCAGCACGTACATTTACAAATACATATTGATGCCACTCTGTATTCATTCTGTGAGAAACACTGTCTAAAATGATAAATGGAGTGTCAAAATCATACTTCATTTTGTTTTATCATTGCTCAAAGAATCTTTAAAAAGTGTAAATATTATTTCACCTCCTACAATACTGAATAAAAACACAAAGCTATTTTTCTCCTTATAAGTCAAATGTAGCTACATGAATAAGTAATAACTAAACTTGGTGTTGCATAGAGTGACTGAGAGCAAAACTGAGATCCACTGTCTATATAGTTGAGTTTAATGTAATCGTACTTTTGTTCTGTACTAAGGTAGATAGCATATTCTGTGGAATCTACAACAGTATTCAGTACTATCATTTGCAACATATAAAATAAAGGTTTTACAACTCCAGAGCTATTTAGTTCCAGTTTTTCTATTATTTACCTTATCTGCAGGATAATAGCTGATATTATGGGAAGAACTTTGCACAGCATTGTTTTGAGATACAGTAACATTTGTTGGTTCCTGGACCAATCCCAAAATTCTGATTTCTTCAAACTTCAAGTTGTTCGGATCATTGTAATTGTTGTTTATGACATTCATTTGTAGAACATTCTGAGAAATAATAAAATGAAATTAAATTAGGAGAATTTTTGGCAATATACTGTGATTAAGAGTTACACTTAAGTTTCCTGAATAACTCTTGACAGTGTAGTAAATAGTAAGCCTTTTCCTTAGCGTATTAATCGTTGTCTTTTTTGTTGTTATCACTTAAGCTACAAAATGTTTTCTATCTTCTATAGAATATGCTTTGTACTTGTATTTCAGCTTCCTTTTTGGCTTCTTTCAGAAATAAGAAAAAGCTAATATGGGTCTGAGTTAGGACAATGTACCTCCACTCTACTGGAATCTTGTTAGTGAGAGATTGCTGATCTTACTGGATCTTACAATTGAAAGACTACATTCAGTGTTTGTGATACAGAAAAGCTAGGCCCTGTTCAGTTATGTTGGACAATATCAGATTAAGAGTTCAATCATTGATCTGTACCATCATTGTCATATATGCCATTATATATCTTTCTTACTGCTGTCTATGTGAAAGTTTGCATTAGCTTTCATTCACAGTAAACCTTCAGCACCATTAGAGACAACTGATGATTTAGTTACAGCAGTTACAAGCTCCAACATTAAGTGAGATTTCATATGCAGAGTATTACCAGATATATGATTTAAGAAAAATAAGAATTTTGAAGTTGTTCTCACTTCTATTCCCACACTTCCCTTTCCATGTTCCATGCCTTCAATCTGAATTGTCGTCCTGGTGTTTCAACATGGCAAAGGAAAGAACAACTTCAGTAGATATGATTTTTTTTATATTAAAATACTATTATTTAGAAACCTTATAATATGAAATCTCCAAGCAATATGGAATAGAAAAGCTATCTGGACTTTACCTTGCCAAACAGAGGCAATTCCTATTAAAGAATAAATAAAAATAATGAAGTGAATTCTGTGGGTTCAGACATTTTCCTTTTACTCACTGGAGAAATTCAGCTACGTTTTACAATATACAAGGATCCTTTTTTTTTCCAATATTACAATTTTTTCAAACCACAAACATTAATCTCCTTCCATAAGCTGTTTTAACTGCCACTGATGCTTTACAGTTCTCTTGCTCTATAAATTTTCCTGCTAATTTTGCTATATGACAGGAAGTAGGATTCTTTAGATACTAAAAGTAATTAGGAAAACAGAAGGCAAATATGATATTTATACCCCAATCAGATGACATTACTTTGCAAACAACATCTCCTAGCGTTAATGAAATATTTCTTAGTAAATATGGTGGGAGTGGGAAAAAAGAATACTCTTAAAAGATATTATTGGTTAAACTGAAAATGAAAATAAGATCCTTTACAAGATACTTACATTGGAAACTTTAAACTCATAGGCAATGTAACTTTTACTGTCAACAGTACCTAAAATGTAGAGAAAGGAATTACAGTTACAGTATAGAATCAAAGGCACTGAAAACAGGACAGTGCTACAGTTAAGAGACCAACATATTGCTAATTATCATTATAATCACATACAGAAACTGCAATCAGGATTGCTACTCCACTGAACAGATGCTGCACAAACTACAATAAAATATGGAATTTTTATTATTTTTCAAAGCAGGAAAGTTAGTTTCTGTATTTAACATTCTGCCAGTTCAAATCTTCAGTTGAATTGACCCCAAGTATTGGTATTTTTAAGTTGTTCAGAAATCCTGGGTTTTTTGTATTATTTTTAAAGCTCAGAATTGAAGATTCATTAGTTTTATATTTGGGGTCCTGTATAAGTTGGTAGAGATAAGATGTGCAAGAAGTCTCCCGTTGTGAAAACACTTGTGTAACTTAAAGAATTTGATGCTCCTATGGTATCTGAGGGGAGTTCCCTCTAGAGTCATGAAGTCATATGCTGCTTGGGATGCCCCAAAGCCATTTAATCCATTATTCAAGACAAGCCTGACTCTACCTGTGTCTTGTCAGAGTCCTGCTTGTTTCATCTACTGATTAAAGGCCTGCATTTCTCAACCTTTCTACACAATATATTACAATGTTTCGCTATTTTCACCATAAGAAAGCTTTTTACCTTTTCTAAAAGAAAGCAGCTAAAGCCCATTCTTTTTGCCCCATTCTTTCACTGTGCATGTGGAAGCTTACTTCCTTTGCCATTGTAACTACCTTTAGATTATCAAAATCTTTTAGTATTGACAAAAATCTTTTAGTATTCTCTTTTACTTCAGCTCATGCAGTCTTTTCCAATGAGGTGTGTTTTCTAGACCTCTTAACTTTTCCTGCTGCTCTCTTTTGGTCTCCTGTTTATCTACATTTGCCTGTAGAGGTGAAATTCATAAGCAGAGTCAGTACTATAGCTGAGGCCCAAAGTTAAAAAAGATTATTTATTGCTGATTCACTACAACCCTAAGAACTGATTTCCTAGCCAGTAACTCACCTTCCACAGGGCAGTATAAAATGTTGGGTTATTTGTTTCACTGTTTTTCTAACTTAAGTTAAGCTGACTGGTCTGTAATTACCCAGCTCTTGTATTGCTCTCATTTCAGCATAGGTGTCACACTTGCTTTTCTTCTGCCTCCCTGGATCTCACTTACTCTCCAAAAGTGCTCCTTCCCCTGTCCTACCTCTATTCAAGGCTAAGTTCTTATGCCTCTGAAATAACTTGCACTGGTCATATGATTGCAGCTGACTCTCCTAGTCTCTAAGGCCCTCCTCCTCTGGACCAAAAACTGAATCATTAGATTTGCCATTCTGATAAATAACCAATGGATGTTTTTTTCCTGTATTACTCAAGTTTAGAAAATTGTTTTTTTTCTCTTGTTAGCCTTTTCCAGTTACTCCTCTCTATTTTCCAGCGTTTTTTTTTAATTTTTTCTCTTATTTGAAGGAATATAAGCTACATGTAAATTACTACGTATTAATGCCAAGCATATGTCATTTTGGGCATAAGTAACTTGACTTGGTTTGCTCTCCCTGTATGTTTCCTCCCTGAGGTCAAGGAAAAGATCATAGTTTAGCCACGTTAGCCTTTTACTATAATTTCTATCAGTTAGTTTTCAGATTTGCCCTTACTATCATTTCTTTGAGGAACTAACAGTTCTCTTAATCTTTTTTCCTTAGGCCAGTTTCTCTGATCGAACTTTACAAAAATTTTTCCAAATTTATTGAAATTTGTCTTTCTTAAATGCATTAGTTTTATTTTACTGTTATACCTTCTTAACATCTCTTAAATGTAAATGCAAGTTTCAAAGTTAGTCCTTTAAAATATTAAGTGTTTTTTTATTCAGAAATGACTATATCATCTGATGGGAGGGTGTAAATAGGATGGAGCCAGACTCTTCTTAGTGGTGCCCACTGACAGGATGAGAGGTAATGAGCACAAAATGAAACAAAACAAATTTTACTTGCACATAAGAAAACACTTATTTACTGTGAGGATTGGACAGACTAATATAAGCACCAGTATCTAACAGATTTTTATCAATTTTAATATACTCGAGTGTTTTTATAAAATGTCTTCAAAAAATCATTTCAGAGTTAATATTTAAACCTCTTCCTGTCTTTCTAAAAATAGATATATAATAAAAGAAAGAAACTATAAAGCAGCCTAAAGGATTTAAGTACCCAAGTTCTTTGAATTTAATGGAAGTTGGATGCATTACTAAATCCTCAGAGGTATCTCAGGAAATTCAAGGTTCTTCCTTTTGCAAGATCTCCTTCAGCTCAAGATAATAAACTGTACTATTTTTGTTTGCAAGGTTCTTCCATTGCTCTAGATCTAACTCTGCTTTTCTTAGACATACATGTATTCGAAAGGCATTAATTTTCAAGACAAGCAAAATGTACTTAACCATAAAAATCAGTTTTATGAATTGAGTTGAATTAAATGAAGTTGAATTAAATTATATCATTAATATTACACTAAGCATTAAAAAAGGGGTATGCGTGTTGTTAACTGTTCGATAGAAAACCACTTGTGAGGTAAGTAGCATCTATTCCAGTTTATTTTAAGAGGTGAAGCTGAGAGGCTTTGGCATAATTACTCAATATCCTGGTTGAAAATAAGTTCGCATGCAGCTATTAACAAAAGGCAAGTTTGGCAAAAAACAAATATAGACTGTACAAACTTCATCAAATGCATGGATATGCTGTGGGAACCAGGTGCCATAAAAACATTAATCTTCAATACCTTACCTTTAGAGTGAACAACATTTCTACTGATTTTACAAGAAATTTAATTCCATACAGTTCACAAACTATACTAGACATACTTTGAAAAGTGATTGTTTTCCCATCTTCTACTGAACCTTATTGCTAAACAGTTTATGTGCATTCTTGTACTCACTGAAACTGATTTGAATACATACCAGAATATACATCAGTCTTAACAGTGTGATTTAACAGTCAGCATGCTAATGCACCAAACCTTTACATATTTAAGACTACTGGGAAGCCTAAATAAGTTAAAAAAATGAATTGAGAACCATTATTTTTCCACTTACAAGTGATGAAAAAACGCTAATAGCTTGGTGCATATTAAAGTTAATATTCATACTAACTTGTTCTGTAAAATCAGTGAGAAGAGTAAAATCTGTAAATATTAATATTTCAGCTCTCATAGTCATTTATTCTGCTCACCTGTTGATTCTCCATCATCCCAGAATAACTCCCCAGAAGCTTCATTATTGTCATCCAATGTAATTATAAGACCCAAAGGATTCTTACGGCTGTGAAAAAAGTATTTCTCAGATGTAAAATAAATATCCAGACAGTCTTACTTCATCTTTAATATTCATATTAAAAATATAAAGTTAAACAGGGCTGCAGAACTTCGAAGATTATCTTATATTGGTTGCCCAAGACTTTCATGTCCAATAATTTTCATTGTAAATACATTAAAATGTATGACAAGTTTACAAAATGCCACAACAAAAATCTGTAGTTAAATTTCTAAATATGTTACGCAGTAAGTTGTGGAAGTCTATTGTGACTGACAGCTATTCCCAAATTTCAAAGCGCAAATACTAAATACAATAGGCTGCTATTTATTTGCAAGCTGGCAGTCCTGAGCCCATTCTTGAAACTGTATTTCATACTAATCTAGTCAGAAAAGTATTCAGTCTTAAAACTTGCCTTGCAACTGTTGTGGTAGCTGGTTGTTGAAAAGGGAAAACATAGCCTCCTCTCAAATGAAGTCCAAGTTTGTCTGCTGGTAGGTACATATCAATCCATTGTTTTCTCCAAGAGATTTTTGTTCCCTTATTAACAGGGAAGTAAAAGTGAATGGGTATGTTGCATTACTTACTGATATGAATGCTGGCTGAAATCCTGAGTTTTAATTCTTCCTTTTAGTAATAGGTTTAAGTTAAGTTTCGTAAGTATCCATAGAATTGCCAATGGTCACAAAAATAAAGTGGCCACAGCTCAATAAGCTATAATGTTGTAAATCAACACCTCTCAGCATTTAATTTTAAACATTTGAAGTGTACAATGTCCCTTTACATCCATTAAAAGGATCATCAAAGCAGTGGTGGAAACTTACTTGCAGAAGTGAGATTAGCAAAAGATATTCGCAAACAATTTCATGCATTATTATTATTAGACTTCACTATTTCAAACATGATCTTTGCTTAAGTTTTCATTCAATCTGTCTTTCTATTTCCTGCATTCTATCCACATCTGTACATCTTTTTTGTGGGGCTTTGATTCCTGCACTCACCCCATCTTCCCTTCTCCCACCATTTCATTCCTACAGGCTTTCCTTTAGGTCTCTGTCCCTGGAGCAGGGCTGACAGTCTTATTTCATCCTGCAGAAATTTAGAAAGCCACACCATATTATCCTATGCATTTACTTACTGTATCGTAATCATACCATACTGCATCAGGAATATAGGCTTGAACTACATCCACACCCTGAAAGGCAAATGAAGAAACAACTTTCATATTTGAAGGCAAGCTAATCTAATAAGCTAAAGTTTCCAAAATCCTAATAAAGTACATAATAAGAAAATTTCATAAGAGAAGAATTAGGTTGCCTAGAGGACTGGAAAATAGAAATAGGATTTAATAGCACAATGTATAAGATTTTCCATTTAGACAATGATAAAAATATGTTCTGAGTTGTGGTCTCTCTTTCTGGAAGCAAGAAATGAACAAAAAAACCCAAGGCTTATTAGGAGTCTCAGGACTACCATATCATTTATATTCTGTATCCATGAAAAATGAGTATATCTTAAGTTTATGTCAAGAGACTATTTCCACTGGAGACAGCTATATTAGTGATAATGAACAAGGGCCTCTGCAGTCTCTTTTGGACTACTGTTTACAGTTCTGGTTAAGACTCACAGTTCCATAATATGACAGCTCATTGTATGCAACCTGGAGTCACAGCACTTAAAACACACTGTCTCACAGGAGATTTACAATCATTATTTCACTTTTTCCAGGTAGTTCAGATTAGAACAGGATCAGAGCAAATTTACTAGATTCATCTGGGAAGTAGAAGACCCTATTTTTCTTTTCAGCTTAAAAAAAAGGAGAGGGAGCATGACTTCAAGAGAAAATACATATGCAGTGAGTAGGGGAAACCTAACTTCCAAGCTGAATAATAATATTTTCACAAGACTGAATTGGCTGAAAATTAGAAGGTGGTTTCTAATCAAAGGAATAAAGGAATGACAGGAACAGAGAGAGGGTCAAGAAGTGTTAGTTGTTGGGGATTTTAGTCTGAAATTCCCCGTCAGAAAAAAGAGCTGGAATAGTGATTCAAAGTGTCCCTGTTCCCTATAAATTCATTATGAGGTAGAGTCAAGGCAAGGAAACATACTGGGTCAAGAACTGGTGTAATAAGTAGTCCAGGACCCCATAAGAACTGCTTATCAACACTCCATGTTGCTTCATCAGAATAGAACCTAGACAAATGGGAAAATAACATTAATTGTATTTACTAATTGATTAACATGAGTAATCTTAATATTTTTAGTTATTGATTGCCTAAAATCACTATTGAAAAGTTATCACAACATTACAATATTATTTTCTTCTGAGGTAATATGAAATTTAGAAAGTAAATTTACTAGAATAGTTTAATTAATATTGATTGTACATATGCATAAGTGCATCTGTGTGCGGATGTTCTTGTTAGAATCTTGACAGAACTTTATTCAAGAGTTGCCAGGCAAGGAAACAAAAATTCTAAAATGTAATAGAATAATTTCATTAACTTGTGAGAATAATTGCATTAACATGGTGAAAATAATTCCATTAACTGCCTATGACATTTTATAGCAGCTCTTTGAGCAATTGAAAGTAATACATTTGTGCATGCAAAAATTATAGATGGTTTTTAATTACTGTTCTGATTACTTCAAAGTAGTATTTCATGAATTTAGAACTTGTCTATACATATTACAATGTGCAATGTCTTTTATAAGTTATAAAAGTGTTTAGAAAGTCCCTAATAGCACTCAACCTGCCTCAACTCTTTATTTCTAGTGAAAATATCATCAAGTCTGGTTAGTAAACTCACTCATGCAGAACTGGCCGTGCAACTGTGCCTCCTTGAGTGTGAGCTTTGTAAAAGAGCGTATACAGATAGGGCAGCAAAGTATAGCGTATGTTCAAGTAATGCTTTGATGATTTCACCAAAACCGAATCAGCTCCGAACACAGCAGGATCCTGAGACTGAAAATAATGTATTACTATATTACTGTTTTATGCAGAGGGAGTTTGGAAAACACTGCATGTCAAATATACAGAAGTTGGATGCTGCTTTAAAGGCACTGAAATTCAACAGTGCACCTCTGCAAGGTGACTGCCCCATACAGTGTGACCTGAGGTCCTGACCCTCTAGTAAACTAGTCCAACCAGTAAAGCAACTAGAGGGTTGCTTTGCACTGCAGGCCCTTCCTTGCCCACATGCATTCTGCATGTAATTAGGGGTTGGTCCCCAGAGTCGGGATGATGGGTCACACAGCAAGTGCCCTTCATTGTAGATATGGCCAATGGGAATAAAACTTGATGTCAAATGAATGTACACTCAAGTGCATATAATTAACCCCATAAAGCTAAACTTGTTGGAACTAGAATTTCATAAGGAGAGTTTAAGATTGTACCAATTTTAAAATAGTCAACTATCTAATTAGTAGTGATAAAATAACAATGGAAATGTGGAATTGTGTATAAGCATGCTAGCATAACATGCTAGCATAACACAAAACTAGACAAGAGAACGCACAACTTACTATGCGGAGTTCAGTATTGTGATTCCTGGAAAATGGATAAAATGCTCCTACTTGCATCCATCGTGTGCAAAGTTCTTCCGTGGTGTCATCAAAAAAACCACAAATATCTGCTCCAATCTTAAAGCATAAGCAGAATGCATTATAAGTACAGTAACTCTACAGTACATTGCACCTCTAATCTGTACAAAAAAGTCTTCTAATAATGATTTAGAGATTTATTAATTGTCTTAATTACTAACCAGGATAATAAAGCCATTCAACATATTTCTGCATAAAAACTGTCTTCTTTCAAATCTCTCATCCATATCTAAATTTGCCCATTGTATTTTTGCTCTGATTCAGCTCCAGATTTACTAAAGTTTAAGGCATTAGTTGAAGTAGAAGTAAGGACATAAATACTTATTTTTCAGTAAAGTCAAACAGAGGTCTGCAAACACATTTACAGTCCACCATCCATATGAACCAAATTGCTCTAATTTAAATATAGGTTGCACAGAAAAATTAAGTTAACTACTCGCTAAAACTGCTCATTGTTCTCTTTCTGCCAAATATTTACCTTGCTGTTTAGTGGTAATACTCATACACTAGTGAAGCAGTCCAAAAGTTACAGAATATGAAATCATGAAAAGGAATACAGGCATTTCATTAATAAATACTGATAAAATTCCCAGTGTAATAATTCCTATTACATTTGAAGATGAATGAAAAACAGTAAACATAGAAGATGGATTGAAACAAATAATATATTTGATAACCATACACCTACATAATCAAGATAAGCAAATGGCCTAAAGCTAAAATCAATTATTCCTGGGAACATTTAAACCAGAATCCTAAAGGGATTCCTCTGCAGCTTAAAAGACAAGATGCTTATACAGTTAGCAATTCTTGATTATCTAATCAAAACTATGTATATCTGATAGTTATGTGTTTGTTTTGAAAGGAAATCAAATTACTGTTTCGTACATAAGGAATTCCAAAGAGGTTAAATTCCAGCATTCCAGGTATTGCCCATTTTATGTGATCCCATGTTGCTGCATTATCTCCCAGCCAGTGTCCTGCATACTTTCCTGATCCTGCAAAAGTAGACCTAGAGAGAAGGAAGCTTCGTTTTCCAGGAAACAAAGAGTCAATGGCTCTGAAAATAAGAAAAAAAACCCTGGAATTATGCAAAGAATAAAAAAAGATATGGAGCTAGGCAGTTCTATGTAAGGCAAGTTTATATGTGCTATTTTATGATAACAAATAGTTCGAGGACATAGATTCTGTTACATCCAGGTGTCTTAACCAGCTGTCTTAGGTAGCTAAGTTCCTTATATTAACCTTAAAGAATCTTTCTGTAAGTTTTTGCCCACCTACCTTTGTTATATTTGAACTCTGCACATTATGAAGTCGCAGAAATCCAGCACATCAGTTATAGGACTGGAGATTTAGTCAATTGTGGAGAGACTGGTTTTTACAGAGGCCTGAAAATTCACACTCTTAACAAAAACAATCAGGCTCCTTTGGAAGTGAAACCACTCAGTGTTTCTCAAGAAGCAGGCCATATGCTCTACTCTACCTTTTTTTTTGGCAAAGACATTAAGAGGCATTCCTTACTGTTTTGTTGATAAGGTCATAGAATACCCAAAAAGGCTATGAACATCGTACTGTCTCCCCCACTTCTGTACGGCATCCATACAAAGAGTCTTGGAATACAGGAGTCCATCTAGAATACCTTTGATAAAAGAATACAGATAACAGTTCTGAGGGGCACTTTGATTCTGAATATTTCTGTTTTTCTCCTTCATGCACATTCGTGATATTTAGGTCCTTTTCTGTTTAGCGTTTGTAATAACCCCAGTACTATAAAGACAAAACAATAAGCACTCGCCTCTATCATGTAATTTTACTAAAGGTTGCTGGTTTTATTCATCTTTGCTTTAACTAAGCAGCTTTCTGATTTCAAGCTTTCCATATTTCATGGCAATCGATACATAAATACATACATAAATAGCAAAAAGATTCACCTAATATTGCTAAAACTTGGATAAACGCAACATTACTGACTGAGTAGAATTTAATAGACTGATGCATAATATGCTTCAATTTGTTCAGAACATATAAGGGTTAACTCGTACAGTCTATGCCTAAGTGAGATTAAATAGTAATCACAGGCTCCCTTCAGTGCCAGTGCTTTCTGGCACTTCTTTCAGTAAATCTTTGTACAAGTGAAGCTCGATGGGGTCTTTATCATGAGCATGCAAAGACATGGTATTCATTATTTAAAACTGTATCTTTTGTCTGCAAAATGGTACTCCTTTCCTATTCTTTCAGGACACAGAAATGGAAACACTAACGAGTTTTAACCTGGTGTAGAGCGAAAACTTTAAATGTCATTTGAACACTACATCTATGTCTGAGGTCAGAGGGAATGACATTTTCACTTACAAAGTTTGTCAATAAAATGATACACTATGTAGTGAATGTAACGCAACTCAACTTTGTGCCATCTAAATTTCTCATGCAGACACTGGTCCATCCATGCAAGGAAGGCCTGTGTAACTGCACCTTAAATGTCTAAATCATTTGACCTGACAATGTACTGGCAATAATCACTCAAAATTGTTACTTAATAAAGAATTTGAATTCCACTTAAAGTTAAAAGAAAATTTATATCATTATTAGGCTCAATTAAGGCAATGACTTTTAGTAATGATTTGGAAAGGGAAAAGCCTTTTTCTTCTTGAGTTATATGAACTGTACCTTTGACCTGAGTTCAGGAATACTTTCATTTGATGTCAACAGTAATGCTCAAAAACCACTCACAAAACCTATTTTAAGATCTCTTCATACCCTTGTAGCTGATAGCACAGTAATTCAGAAATATTTTGATTTCTTTGCTTCCCAGGTGAAGACGGACTTACAGGGTGTAAAAGGAGGATAGTTTAAGTCATTCTGCTCACAACCATCCTTGGAGCCTTGAACAAAGTTGGCTACCTCATTCATGTCCTGAAAAAATAAGAATAGGATATGCTGACATTTCCTCAAGTATGTTCTCCCAAGAAAATTCTTCTGCTTTATTCCTCTGATCCTTTAAGGAATAATTAATTAGAACTAGTATCATACAATTAGGTATAATGGTATAACTGAGACACTGAACTGATTGAGTTACATTAATACAGGTCTAAATGCTGGATAGATTTTATGTGAGTGAGCAGTATGAGTTGGGACACTGCACATGACCATTCTGTTTATGGATCTTAAGCTTTTAGACACCCCCTTAGATGGTGGACGTATAGGATATACTTATCCTTCTTTAATATTATAGGTCTCCATTAGCATTTCTGCTTAAAGAAGTAGTGATATCACTAAGTTAAGACGGAGTCCCAGAGAGCAGAGGGATGCAGATCCTCCCACAGTCAGGAGCTGCCCAACAGCACTCAGTTCTCTAGCTATGCTAAGGAGTGATTGCAATCTATCTCTTACTGAGCATAGTTTTTTGCCTCTCAGCCATGTGACTAGCCAGCTCTAGAAGCCAGCATACAAAGGAAGCAGAGCTCAGAAAGCAGTGAACCATCCTCACAGATCTGTTGGGAATGATTGGGTGAAATGCATCATGAACTACAAATATATAGCGGAATGCATGGGACAGATTTCAGAGGGTTCTTACAGGTGTGGCTTAACAGAAACTCCCTGCTTCTTCTCCTCACTGGGGTCAGCATCTACATCATGAGAATTACACCTAACCCCAGAAAAGAAACAAAAATCAGAAATAGCCAGAGGTGCTCCTCCAGAACTTGCACCTGCTTATGAACAGCTCCACGCTATTCTCAAGAGAATGTATTGACTACAGAGCATGTGATTTGAGAGAAATTGCAGAATAAGCAAATGTATAATGTGTTTTTTTCTTCTGAAATATACAAGATGACTAGATATTCTTAAATATTTCCTTCAAAATATTTTCCAGAACTAATGCAAAACTTGTATATTTTCCTTACCAGAACTGCAAGTGCTTTTCTAGGTGAACCCCTAAATGTACTGTAAGAAAAGTGCATATGGAAGACAACAACTTTGGGATGGAGCTACGTTAGTCTAGAGACTAATTTTTACATCTCAAAAAGATTTTTAGCTTTTATACTTAATATCCTGACCTGATGGAACCATAGAGTTTGCAAAAACAAGCAAGAAAAGTACATTTTATCACATGACAGCTAAGGGACACTATTTTAAGGTACTGACTAAAAATGCATTTAAGATTGTTATGATTTTTTAAAATTATATGTTAAAATGTTCAAATTTATACTTCCCAAGATTTATTTATTTTTAGGTAAAATGGAGAGGAGAAAAAAGGGGACAGAGCAGAGGAAGTAAGGAAGATGATCTTCAACCTTTTTCAAATAACTCTATCACTGAGAGATGCCAGGATTCATCTGTGCTTCTGCATGTAGAAGTAATCAGTCTACAGAAAACAAATGCACTTATTTAAAGAAAAGAAACATGCAGCCAGGAACACCTATTCTCATCTTCATCAGCCACATTAAGAGGGGATTATCTGATGCACTCTAATGCCTATTGATGAGCATTGAGTTATTACACATTGCAATTCCCTCATTTAGCAACATAAGTATCAACATTACAAAATCAGAACAAAATAAAGTATGTTAGAAACTTTAAAATATACTTGAAATCTTGCTGTACATAGTTAGGTTTGCATGGATGAAGTATAATAACCAGTTAGCTCTTTTGGTCCTATCAGCAAATGCTTGAGCTTTGTTTGAGCTTTCTAGTATCAACTTTTATTAAGTAAAAATTGCCAGTTTCATCTGTATTTTGCTATAGGGATTAATAACAATGATTCCAAACTATGCACTATAGTTATACAGTACTCTGCCTCCATGCCCAAAATTGTTTAAGCATAAATCAAATGGAATTTTGGAATTTAGCTTCTCAAGCTGAAATACGGCACTATCCTTTCTTATTCAAAGCCTCTATGTTTTTTGCTTTGTATGCAACTAGCCACAAACCTATCCCCCAGAATTTTATATTCTGGACATAAATCTGGAATTCCTGTGATGTGAATTAACAGTGATAAAAAAGGTAAGCTTCCTGGGGGGGATCAGTAACTTTCAGCAGACAAGAATAAGGCCTAAAAATCTATTTTATACTTAAGCAGATTTTAGATATCTTCATTTCCTGAGTCTAAGGATATTGCATACTTTCAGCCACAACATAAAGAGAAAAACTAAGTTATCATACTTAAAACTGTACAGTCCTTCAAACCTAGGTTTTAGCATTACAGCTTGTATTAGTCCATCACAAAGACAGGGCATTATGGAAACATGCTTAGAACCTTTTGTAAGGGTAAATATAGATGGGCATTTCCAAAGCATGTTTAGTTTCTGAATCCTTGCCTAAGCACCTAAATATAGTTTTAACTTACTTATAGATACTCAATAGCCCTAGAAATATTTCTGAATTAAAATGGGTTTTAGCTGCTCTGTACCTTCACAAAAGAAGTTAAACCCCTGTTCAGTTGCTTATATGGGGATTAAGAAGCTTAAGAACTGATCTTCCCCAGATATCTCTCTCTGAAAAGCTTTACTATAGCATATTTCTGTAAAAGATTGATCTGGGAGAATCAATATGACCTTACTTAGGTTCCATGAATTATGCCTACAAACAGCTGTGCTAGACTGTGTGTTAATCATTTGATGGAATAAAATATTTAGGGAGCCTGACTTCAAATCTTAACTTGGAATACTAGCTGCAAATATACTGATTTGAAACTCAATGAGCTACTTTGAGAATAGAAGTATAGACTATATTCATTTTAATCCTTCAGTACCTGTTCAGGATACATTTACTTAGCATGTAATATGCTAAGTTTCCAAATATTGTCCTTTTGACTGTAGGAGCATGCTATCATTTGTCTTTATCAATGGTTTCTCAGCTGAAGCATTTTAGATGTCAGTGAACATCCACAAATACACTTATCTGAATCATTAACCATGTCATTTAAATTCAAATCTCAAAATATCAAATTTAAGTTGCAAATCCAAATGTCTATAGTATTTTTTCCATCACTGCAATGCTTCTAGAACTGTCTGAAATATGCTTACTGTCAATTTGTTACCAGAAAGGAAGAAGGATCATTAATTGTGAAGCTTAATGTTTTTCTAAGAATCTACTCTTATAAGAATCACTTTGGCTCAAGAGATTAAAGAGATTAAGTATGAATAAAAGGATCTTCGCTTTTAAATAGTGGCTTGACTAGTCTTACCATTATTTTACTATACCACAGATTTGTAGGCAGCAGAGCTTTTAGCCAACTATAATACTGTAAACTCATTTGCGGCTAGTATGACTGACAGCACAATAAGAAAAACTATAAGCTGTTGAACTGCTTGTCCAGAAACCAGGACACTGATACACAAAATAATCAAATTAAAAATAAGAACATCCTTTTGAATGTCAAAAAGACTATTTTGGAGCAAATGCAGTTGATGGAACTTCACCCAGGTTGGAGAACTCATGTACTGAAACCTATTTATGTAGGTATAGCTTTGCTGGGTCACTGTTCATTTGTACAGGCCTTGAATACAATCCGTACCTGGTCCTATAGACCTCCCTAGACTTGAGCACACTCTTCCCTGGTCCTATGCTAAACAAAGGTTCTTAATTCTGGACTAAAAAAATGAGTTTACTCTGTTAAGAGTCAAGGCTCTACAAATGATGTTAATGTTTCTTTCTAGAGAGGAAAGAACTTTTATTCATATGTAATGCTCATTAAAAATAAAACCCAGTGTAAGAACTATAGCTTTGAAATAGGACCTTAATCTGGTTAGTTGTCCACGATTTATGCAATAAATATGCAGAAGGATAGCATGTAAGTCAGCTGTTAAACAAATTAGGTTTCTTCACATACACCTGTAGCGTACTGGTAGAACCAGGTGTCAAACACATTGGGTAAATGCCACTTCTATCAAAGAGATCTTGCCTTTTGTTATCAGAAAAGCAAGGATTCCATGCAGTGTGTTCAATATTACAGAAAAGACAGACAAATCCCACATTGATTTCAGGCTGTTAAACATCTCTTCAAATTCAATGTAGACTTACACAAAACATCTAACCATAAAACTTATTTGTCATTAGCCTATTTTTGCAAAACCTGAAAGTTCTGTATTACTTACAATCCAGATCCCATCATACGGCACTTTATTATAAAACAGTCTGCATTCTTCTACCCACCAGCTGGTGCAGTCTGGATTGGTGAAATCTGGGAATACAGTTCTTCCCGGCCATACCTACAATATTCAAAGTGAAATAATTGATTAAACCATTGAATTCACATTCAGATTTATTTGAATTATTCTTTTGGATAAATATTTGGATATTGAAACTTTGCGTTACTAGTTTTTCAGGACATTGTTAATATAGAAGATATATAAAAATATATTAATTTTCAGGAGTGACAATAACTTACACTCAGCAAGAGTGTACAAAGAGTATGACATTGTTAACTTCTAAATTTTCAACTTAGGAGTCAATTTTAAGTCAAAATTATTTTAAAGTTATATAAGTCCCAATGAGCAGCTTAATCTGTAAAGCATTATAAGGAAGTTTTCAAAAGCACGAAGTAGGAATTGGCTCTCTAAGCACTATTGAAAATAAATAGAAGTTGGCTGCCAATGTGTCTCCTGAGCCTTCAAAAATCTGTTTTCCTTTATACTTAATCTAAAAAATTTGCTAAAATTGAAACATACTATGTTAGAAAAATTGAACACATCTTACCCTGACCCAAATTAAATAAGTAGTGCCAACAGATTGCGTACCAACTTCATAAAAATCCAATTACCTCTCCAACTAGTTGTGTTATTCCATCTGATTGATTAATCCAGACTTTATTCCTTTCTCCCCTGTCATAGGCCTCATAGGGAGTACCATCAGCTAGAGTCTCTGTGCTAATAGCAGGATCCTAAAAGAACAAACGACAAGGAGGAGGAGGGAGAACATGAGACAGGCAATACATGTAATAATTACATATAAGTATGTTAAGCTTAGTAATAAATAATTATCATGATATTATTTAAAATGGAAAAAGAAACAGCTGAATACTTACCAGTATGATAACATATTTTTGTCCATGGTTATGCATGTAAGTTCTAAAACTAGGGAGATCTTTAAAGTTCACTTTGTCATAAGTAAAATCTTTCCTTGCTTCCATATAGTCAATATCTGTGTACTGAACATCCTGAAAGAGAATGTCATTATATGTGAACATTGGAAGCAACACTTAAATGTTTTACATACTACTCCAACATATTTTTCTTCTGATTAATTCCCATTCGCTCTGAAGTGAACTTATGACTGTATTGCAGATAGATAGACAGTACAGAGTTAGAATCATTATGAACAATGTGGAATTATCCATTATTTCAGCCAGATCACGCAATTTAAGAACTCTATTTGGGAGAGCTGAAGCAGTACATGGAGAATTCAGTGAATACAAGCTTCAAGCATACAAAACAGGGACAGTCATCTTGGCAGCACGAGACAGAACAACTCTGAAAGATGATGGAAAATGCTTAGCAACATATGCTGCAGAGCTACTTTGAAATATAAAGTATGAGGATTAATTTTACTGAGGGTCTGGCCTTGTTAACAGAACAAGATTAGCCAGCGTTGTGGGTGGCCTGACTGTGGCATACCTTCTCTATGTGCTAGAATTAGATCAGTTTTCAGAAACACATCTGATGCTGTATCCTAACCACAGTCAGCAGGATGCAAGTGTCTAAGTATTTTAGAGCTGCTATCCACAAGTCTTATTTTGTCACCACATCAGAAAAAAAGAGCCCCAGCTCGCTATGCTCGCCTAATTTTCTAGAGCTTCGGAGAGCATAAAATGAATTTGTCTGCAGAGGCATGGTTTGATCTCAGTGATTCACAGGATCATATTGGTGCTAGGCTAAAAAGTGTGAATAATGTGGATTGCAGTTCCTCAGCACCAACTATTTTGCTCTATGGATCTGCTTTTATTGGTCTGCACTATTTGCTAATGCAGATGAATCCAGTTATCAATCTTGCTTCAGGTAAATGATGTACAAGTTAAATGCAAGTGGGTAGATGAACACAAGTAGTCTTCAAAAAATAAAACGATCATCCATTTTTTATGTATCAAAAATGCAGTGGGCGAGTTTTTGTAAAGTCCAATGTTTCTACTCATTCACAAAAAGTTCACAGTCATGTCTAATGAAAGGTAAATTTGACAAAAGTAAATATTCCCTACATTAAATAATTTCTTCCAGGTCTAGTGTAGCTCAGGCTCTATTCTCATTTTAGTTCTTCAGTCTCTGGAGAATGAATCCTGGCTATCAAACAGTGGCCATCCCACTGAATTGCAATGCACATCTTTTGTGCCTAAAGAAGCTAGGTTTCACCTAGTGATACCATGAACAAAATTCAAATGCATGCTTATACTGACATCATTTCTAACAACTTCTAGACAGGTCCAGCATAAAATTTGAGTTCCACTCCACAGAATTCCCTGAGTTGAATTTTAGGCACTGACTTCCTTTCAAAATTGGGAGGTTTTCTCCCTAGGCTCTTTATACAACTGATAGAGAGAAGCTCCTTTGAATGACAATTCAGATGCCACAGGCTGGGTTCATATTCTGAATTTCCCTTTGGAAAGCTTCTTACTTGGCAACCCAGTTGTGAATACTGCTTCTCTCTGGGAGAGCTGCTTATGACTCTAAATAGTTAGCATTCCCATAAAGAGAAAAATGGTGTAGACTCCTGGATTTCCCTAGCAGGAGATATCACTACAGAAAGTGATATTTTCAACTACCCAGTTCTTTTCAGCCTCTTTCAAATTGTAAATTTCTGTGATTTTAAACCAACAGATTAGTTTAACCTGACATCTAATTTTAAAATCTAATTTGAATTTACCTTTTTGTGCCAGTTAAGTAAACCTTGGTTCTATACTCACTTTTTCCACAGGATACAGGTTAAAAAAAAAAAGCAAGAGATTAGGTAGCAGATTAGACAGTAAATACATATAGTCAGAAACTAACTGAAAAATCACTTCCACAAAATTGTTACAAAAAGTGAGCAAATGACATTTGAAAATCATTCATCATTTTATATAGATAGCTATGTAGCCAATAAAAACTACTGTAGTTAAAAAGAAAAACCTTCAGTATCCCACATTTTGAGAACTGGCCTAACATTCAAAGGCATAAAAAAGTTAACACCAGAAATCTATATAGGATCTTCAAGTTAGTATAAACTACCAATAAAACCAATGTGAAATGAACCAGCTGAAGGTAATAAAATCAGAATGTTATGATAATTAATTTGTCCTCAGTTGTTCTGTCTTCACTATCAAAACCTTTACTTACATAAGGTAGTCCAATTGCTCTGTTTCTCTCTACAACAGCTTTCACCTCATCAAGCGATCCGTAATTATAGCGACTAAGTTGAAATCCAAGACTCCAATAGGAAGGCAATGCTGGCAATCCTATTAGCTGAAAGTTAAAAAAGAAAAATAAAATCAAGGGCACTGTCAGTTAAACTTGAATGTGTTAAAGATTCCCTAAATCTACACTCCTCAAAACTAACATTAAAATTAAGTACGAGAAACTAGGTTTTAATGCAATCACCCACAGTCGCAATATTTTTGTGCTATTTTTCAGAAAAAATTGTTGGAAAAATGACATATCCATTGCTATCCATAAAGTTCTTATATTATCCTTAAAATTGTCACCTCATTTTATTTTCTGACTTTAAACTCATTTATTAACTGTCTTATACAAGAGTGTAAGCTCTTTGTTTTAATAACTATTTATTATTATATAGCATAAATGCATTATATAGTATAAAAAGCAATGTTACATCAGCAGCCATTATACTGACCTTGATTCATGACTTAGGTAATAGAACATCAATACCAGTGATCTGAGGAGTAGTGCTATATTATCAAGGAGCGGCAAAGTAAACACAAGCTATAGAATGAAACAAAAGTATAACTATGGAGATAAGCATCAGGAATGAGTTGTCACAGTCCGCATCAGGGAAGAACAGCTGACAAGTCTGCTAACTGGTTATATACTTAAAAAGGCTTTGTCCATGCCCACAGCAAAAATTAGTTTCATTGGTGATGAAACCAATTCTTCTTTCAGTCTCGGAAAGAAAAGAAATTCCCACAAATAGCTTTAAAAACACATTATATAGAAGATCAACATCATCACTACATTTTAGAGATAAGCAAATTATAGCTCTGCTTGACTCCTTATGTTGATCAGTAGATTAGTGGCAATCAGAAACATCATGGGCTCTCCTCACACACAGGCAAAACTGCCTAGTTTATTCATATCCAACCTTTTTGTATTACATGAGTTACTTTGCTGAAAATTGTGTTAATCTAAGCAAGGGAAAGCTACATAAAAACAATGAAAGTAACTTAGTCAGAAATTTAACTAACATAACAGAAGGTTTAAATTATCAGTTTAAAATTACCATTGCTAATGGTATGTCTGTTGCAGAGAGAAATTCAATACAACAAAATGTAATGTTGTTTAAAAACTTACACATACTTTCTTTAAGAAGTCATTGAAACAGGATTGGATTCCGGAAATACAAATGGGAAATAGCTGCAGTAGGTATTTTTCTACCATACAATTGTGATAATGTACTTGGCTGATTTATCTACCCTATAATATTATTATGTAAATAAATCTCTTCGAGCATGTTAGCTTCAGTGAACAAGTGTGTTATTCCACGCAGCCCATCACTAGCTCAAATAGCAGATGACCACACTGAAAACTACTCTGAGCTTGCATAACGATGAAATTAGGAACTGGAACTACTACATTCTCTCTGCAATAATATCTCAAGCAAAAGCTGGCATTAGCAAGCCAGCTAACCAAATCTACACCCCAACTAACTTCAGATAGTAATTCCTGATGACAGCAGTCAGGTTAGGGACAAATTTTGAGTATTTATTAATAAAATAGCGAAGACACAGGGTGGCATAAAGAGGGGAAAGAAAAAGATCAACAAGCACATTTTAAAATATGTTAAATGCATAATCTTTCTAGATAAATCCAAGAATCATAGGATTTTTGAGGTTAGAAGGCACCTGTGCCTCTCTAGCCCAATTCCCCTGCTGAAGCAGGGTCAGATAGAGCAGGCTGTCTAAGACTGTGTGCAGTCAGGTTTTGAATATCTTGAAGTATGGAGAATCCCCATCCTCTCTGGGCAACCTGTTGTTCAGAAACGTACCTTCAGATACTCCTGCACTACTTGCTCTGGAGTGTCTCCCAAGAAAACATAAAAATCAAGAATTCCACCAATTGTTCTGTAAGTTACTGCTGGAGCAGGCTGCAGGGCAAACTCTGTCAGTAAAGAATACACAAGTCATTTCTGAATATTAATTAAATCTGAAAAAACCTATCACACTGATAAGAAAGATAAAAGAACTTGTGTAAGAGAAAATGTAAAACAGAAATACTTAAGGAAACCCAAAATGATTATTTGAACTTGCAATGAAGATAGAGTATTCTGATTTTTTTTAATATCCATATTTACACTCTTACATGCCACAAAGAGAAATTAAATACAATGGCACAGCTCCTTCTCATTAGATTTCCAGTACAACTTTCCAGTCTCAAGAGATCTGAATATTTCCATTAAGCATACAAATATGTATACTTATCTAGAAAATATACTGCCTTAATTTTTCTAAGTGCAGCTCACTATAGAAGATTCTCATATCCTATAGTGCACCTTCCCAGAACATGATCAAAATTGCATATGCTTCAGATAAACACTAGTGTCATACACCTGAATACAGCCTAATGCAATCTTAGCTACAGCTGTGTTTACATTGCTTATGCTAAACATGAGTAAATGCTTGCAACAACGAATGCCATCACATATTTAAGACAACTTTGTTTAAAATTTTACATACGACTTTATTTTAAAACAGACATTTACCTTGGCTCAATCTGATCACAATGTGATCGTCCTGCAGACTATTTAAAAAGCTATGTAACTGCAAAACTTAGAGATACAGAGAAAGCTTTCTTACCCATGGCATTGCTATTCATTAAGAAAACACCAAGAGACGCTCCAGTGTTGTCTTCCAAACACAAGAAGAAAGTTTGAACGCCGTATAAGTTATCCATGCTCTTAAAAGAAAGAAAGCAAGCTGTTTAAAACCTAGTAACTATATATACTCCATGATATCTTCAAATATATCATATGTGAAGTTAAACTTCTCAAAATGGAACAAGTAACTGAAATCACCAACACTTTCCTCATTTTTTGTTTTCCTACATCTCTCCTGTATGTGAATGTCTTGAAGTTGCTTAAAATACATTGATAACACAACCTTGGGGAAGTTTGCATATATTACAATGCTATTTCTGAGTAATAAATATACACATCAAGTAAATAACATCTGTTATAAAACTTTGGGTGGTACAGTATTTTACATCTAACAAATAAGAGGACCCTATTTCTTTTATATTACTATTGTTTTTTTCTCATTATTAGCAATAAGAATTCTTACAACTCTGATACCAGCTGTTATCATTCATATTTTTCCCCCAGAAAAAAACTCTGAACAAATTGCTGAGGAGCAGAAGCTCACAATTCCAAATTAGTCCAACTTCACAGTTCAGTGTTAGTTCTTATCAGAATGGTTTCACTGAATGCAGAATAGTTAAGTTAAACTATCTTCACAACTCCGTATACCAGTTATTAAAAAGATGAAGACAATAAGGTGAATGTTTAGTAGAGATAGAAAAAAAATAAAATTATTTCTACTACAGGTTTTGTTTATACTGAGATAAGTGTAAGCTACTTTAGCTTTTGGTTCTAAAAACAAAACTGGCCTTCCTGAAATCTTATCAGGCCAAATCATACTATATGTTGCCATCTCTAGTGATCAGAGCTTGAGGATGTATAATTAGCTCCTCCCATCAACTTCCCCCATGGCTTTTTAATTTTCTTTGGAAATTTGATAAATACATAATGGAAAAAGGAAAAAAATAAGACTAGGGAGACATGAGAAAAATAGAATGGTGGTGGGGATTCCTATGACACATACAGCTGTTAGCACATAACGTTATCACAACTCCTACTTCTTCCTCCCAAGGAGAAGGAGGATTCAGAACACCCACCAGTGCCTTTGGGAATCAAACTGGCAGAGTTAGGAAACAAGCATGCCTGCTGGCTGCTGAGGGATGGTGCAGAGGAGCAGCAGTGTTAGATTCATCCTGAAACTGAAGTCCCAGCAGCGCTGCATTGCTCTCTCTGCGGACGCACACAGTGTTCTTTGCTGGGACCTTTCTTTCTGCAAACTCTACTGGGTAGCCATTGAAGGATGGTGAACAAGTATTAAGACTTAAAAAGATGCAAGTCTCAGCAACTGCCTCATCTGTCTGCATATCCGCCATATCTGTCTGCATCTTTAGACATGTTATTGCTTTTAACAATCTAGCCCATAATGATGACCAAGACTGATACACTTTTCTTTCCTCTCCAGTGAACTCAGAGGGCCATCATCTAACTATATGTCAACCCAATGTTGCAAGCCTTACTCAGGGAAAAATTCTGTAGAAAATGTCTCAAAGCTGTGAAAAACTTATTTTAAAAAATTAATTATGGACAGTGAGCTCTCCCCTACATCCTATTAGCACAACTTCTGTTTCAGTAAAACACTTCAGTGTTTACTTGAAGATAAGAATATGGATTGGTGCTGCATTAAACTGAGATAATAGTGAAAAATGGTATTTAATAGAGATTGAATTGATACAGTTATAAATAAATTATTTTAGGGACTATAAGTAAATATAAAAAAATTCTTATTAGTAACATTCTTTCCTGCTTGATCTATATTGATTTCTTGCTCTAAGATTGATTATATATATATGAGGTAGGCTAATATTGTATAAAAACAATTGAAAACATTATTCATCCAAGTGCTTGCAAACTCAGGCAGTTATTTCCTTTGTTCCAAAGTTTCTATACAAGAAAAAGATACTAATAAACATAGCAATAACATTTGATCTTCTATATCCCCCAATGTACAAAAAAAGGTTGTGTATGGGAATACAAATCAGAAAAAGCAAAAGAAGATTATCATAGTAACTTGCCTTTGGTGCAATTGACTTTAAACCATATTTCTTCCATATTGCCTATGAGCAAATCATCGCAGTCAGGACAATGAGAGAACAATACCTCCATATGCCATTGTCAAGAGAACTTGGATAAAGCTAAGTATATCTCAAGGTAGATATAGGAATACTCTTTCATAATTATTGGGAAATGTGTGCCCTAGAAATCACTTTGGAAAAGACATAAAGACTAGAAACAAAGCATCTATTGACAGACCTATTTTACCTTATAAGGAAACAGCTGTTAAATGCAACTTTGTCATCATTTTCTGAGATATGATGCATTAAAGGAAAGATATGTGCTATATTTACTGATTTTTGCAAACAGTAATGTATTTGGACACATGGTTATTTATTCTGTTTATCAGTAGAAACTAAAGACTGTCATATACTAATACGATTAGCTGATTGGCAACACTTCACATAAACACAAATATCAAAATATTTATAAAAAGCTATTCTGCAGGAAACTTTATTCAGTAACATCTAACATTCAGTAACCACATGCAGTGTTTGGCAAGCCTTCTGGCAAAACCTCAGTGGATATTATTAAAAGTAGCTACTATGTATGTTTGGGTTCCAGAATTCATCTGCATAGAAAAAAGCAAAATAAAAT